ATTTGTTAACTGTATTACCTTAGGCACTCTTATTTAATCTCTGTGTAATTTCGTTCTCTCATGTATGGAAAATGAAGATAACAAAAATGCCTGCCCAGGAGAGTAATAGAGATGATCAAATGTGTGTGTGTGTGTATAAAAATGTATATATATAGGTATATATATAGTAGTTTAGATAATGCTTGGTTTAGAGGAAGTCTTGTATATGTTGTAGTTGTTGCTGCTGTTGTTTTTGTTATTATATAGCAAATACCCTTCCCCTTCTGTTCATTAGCTTCTGGTATCCCTAAGGGATGCAATCACAGGAATAAGAAAAATTAGATTTCATACAATGAATGCAGTAACTAAGATTTACATGACCTTTTCCTAGTTAAGTCAGAAGTGAAATAAAACTAAAAGTTTCTGTGAAAATTACCTTTTGTACAAATTGGCTACCCTCTGAGAATGCCACTTAATTCTCTATACCAGCCACCTGCTTTTCTGAGCTCCCTAAATCTAGTTTGTTCTTAAGACAAATGTCATCATGATTTTATGCAAATGTATTTCCCTCCTACCTGCTCTAGACATTTCTCCTCCCCATCTAGGACTCCTGTTGCCACTTGGAGCTAGAATATATCTGCTGCAGCAGGCCAGCCTGAAGACAGGGGCCATGTGCATGAGGACTGCAGCTGACGAAACTGTCCAACAGCCTAAGACCTCAAACCGACATGCTATAACTATTCTGACATGTCATACCGTTACCTAAGGTGGCTCATTGTTTACAGGACTCTTCTAGAGAATGAGATGAGTTACTGAAAGAATTTCTGTTTTGAAGCAAGGATATTTTGTAGTAAGGAGACCTTTTCAGTGCAGTTTGTGCTCAGGGTGGTCCCAGCTGCCCAATTGCAGAATGAGAAATGAGAAGGATAGTCAGGATTCTATTTTCATTCAGTACAAATCAACCCTTATGGGTAAATGTTTTATCTAAATCGATAATGCTGTCTTTGAGTGTGCTTTTCCCTCAGCAGTCATTTTTTTAAACCTCTTGTTAGTAGTATCCATGTTTAGCTTCAATAACGTTGTATGTTACATTCAGCACTCATAGTAGCTGGGTGGATGAGTTCAGCCCAAGATCCTTTAGAACTGAGAAGACTGGAACACATTTCCTACTTTGAATAAGTGCTAGGTATGTGACTTTGCACATGCCAGTTAAATATCTCTGAGTCTTAGCACTCTTCTCTGCCAAACAGGGAATGGATAAGTATTGTGTGACCTGTAAGTTCCCTGCTGTATGTGCGTCATTTGTCACTCTGTTAGCATGACCCAGGAAGGGGATATTGGCATATGAGTTACCTTCCTGCCAATGCTAAGACTTTATTTCAACCATTTCAGCATTTCTGAAGGGAGCACTTTTTATTCCAGCATCTATGAGGAAATTCTATGCTAACTTCTCAATAGTATTTAATTAATCATGTGAATGAGTTAAACAAAAGGGTACATTGTATTTTTTTTTTATTGGAAAGGCGGATATACAGAGAGGAGAGACAGAGAGGAAGATCTTCTGTCTGATGATTCACTCCCCAAGTGAGCGCAACGGACGATGCTATGCCGATCCAAAGCCAGGAGCCTCTTCCAGGTCTCCCGCGCGGGTGCAGGGTCCCAAAGCTTTGGGCCGTCCTCGACTGCTTTCCCGGGCCACAGGCAGGGAGCTGGAAGGGAAGCGGGGCTGCCAGGATTAGAACCAGTGTCCATATGGGATCCCGGGAGTGCAAGGCGAGGACCTTAAGCACTACGCCATTGCGCCGGGCCCTACATTGTATTTTTAATAAAATTAAAACTAGACCTCTGTTTCTTTCTCTTAAATTTCCCCTTTTGAAGACAAAGCAAATAAGCCAGTCCTCAATGCATACTTGTTTATCAATACTTTTTTGTAATCATTTCTTTGGTCATAATACAAGAAAGCTGCTTATATGCAATCTAATGTACATGAATGTGGCAAAGATGAAAATTAGCAAATTAATGAATTTGGACCCTATTTATTATTGGGAAGAACTTGTTAAGTCACTGAAGAAGATGAACCTTGGGCACTGCTCAATGTCCTAGTTGCTAAATCCTCTTCTTGCATGCCCAGGATCCCATATGGATGCCAGTTGATGTCCTGGTAGCTCTACTTCCCATCCAGCTTTCTACTTGTGGACTGGGAAAGCAGTAGAGCATGACCCAAAGCCTTGGGATCCAGCACCTACCTGGGAGACCTGGAAGAAGCCCCTGGCTCCTATCTTTGGATCAGCTCAGTTCCAGCCATTATGGCCATATGGAGAATAAACCAGTGGATGGAACATCTCTCACTCTTTCTCTCACTCTTTCTCTCTCTTTCTCTCACTCTTTCTCACTCTTTCTCTCTCTCTCTAGCTCTCTATCTATCTGCCATTGAAATAAAAATAAAATATATTTTTTTAAAAATTTATTTTATCTAATTGAGAAGAAGATGGACAGATGCAGCTCTCCTATGTTTGTTGGCTCCCCAAACGCCTGAAAGGGCTGAAGCCAGAAGTGTTAGAAACAGCATGATCTTAACATTGGGTTTGGATTGTCCCTGTCAATTGAAGATATGAAATTCAAGTGTACTATCATGTATATGTGTGTTAATGTAGCAAGCTGATTGTACTTATCAAAATATTTTATTTTCTTGAAAGGCCAAAAGTTTGGCTTAAGACTCTCAAGTGTATAAACTGACATGATTTAAGTTATGTAAATCAAATACAAAATACAAGTTAAGAGAAAAGTGAAAGAACTGTTTGGAACTTGAACCTGGTCATGGTTTGTCTTGAATTAATCAGATAAATTAACCCATTTATCTTTTTGTTTTTCAAATGTTGCTGATTTATTTTCATTTAAAAGACAAAAACAGAGAAAATGAGGGAAAGAGGGATCTTTCACCCATTCCTTCACTGCCCAAATGCTCCTAATATTCTGGGCAGGACCAAGGAAAGCCAGCAGCCTGAAATTTCATCTGGGTCTATCACATGGGTTTCGGGCCTGAGTACTACAGCCATCCTCTGCTGCCTCCCTGGCACGTTAGCAGGAGGCTGATTCCAAAGCAAATGTAGGACCCTGTTCCAAGCACTTGGACATCGGATGCAGACATCCCAAGAAGTGTGTTACCATGCTCCACCACATCACCTTCCCTCCCACCCACACTATTGTCTCTTGGTGAGGAAATAACAAATGAAGCTACATTATTCATGTATGTAAATGGACAGCAACCAAAATAGCAGCATGAAATGCATGTGTATCTGAACAAATTCCATTCAGCAAGAAGTCCAGTAAACAGTTTCCTGCCGCACAGGCCAATTTCCAATTCTAGTTCCATCCTTCCAGGACATGCCTGTTTTTGATGGGACATAGACACCACTCAATCTATTACAGTGTTTCGCTTCTTTCAACTTCTGATGTGGTTCAGTCCACATTCCCCTTCCTGTCTTTTGGGAGTCCATCAGTGATACTTGGACTGCCAAAAACAGTGGCAGGAGACATCCATTGCCCGTCTACCTGACTTCTGTGACAGCAGTCACGGTTCTACATCTTAACAGGCAGTGAGAGGACACAGGAGCTGCCACTTCCCCCTTCCTTCAACCGAGTAATTTAATTCAATTTCGGAAAGATTGAGAGAGAAGGGAGAAAAAGAAAACTTTTCTAGTTACACAGATCAATCCAATTGTTCAGAGCTTCAGAATGAATTTTTAAACTTGTTGAACAGAAGCATACAAATGTCGAAGAGCGAGTTAGATAATGTACAAAGCCTCCATTCATTGTGTAGGCAGAAAGGAATGCTGAGACCCGGCAGCTCTCTAAGGAATGTTCCTTTGGCTTGCACTGCTCTGCTGGGAACAAGGAGAGAAACACATATATAAAATGAATTTATACTGTCTCTGGCTTGTAATGGCAAAATGATAAGAAAAATTGGCTGTTTAATATAAACTGTCAGTTGCATATTCCAGGCCTCCTCTCTTTGAGGTCCCGCCCACATCCACACGCTGGGCTACCGTTTAGTAAGGAGCACAAAGTGGCCGTTTATTACTATTGACTGGTGAGGCCTGTGCTCTAAAATTCATTCTGTCAACAGAATGTACGCAAAGCTGGCATTTTAAAGTGGGACTCTTCCCATTTCTGGGTTTTCTCTGGATTGCTATGCAACAGGATCAGTGCTGTAGTCCCCGGTTCAAGCTGAAAATGTTACACAGGAAGACATACCATGTAAAGGTCAGATTCTTCTACTATGATGATTTTTCTTGCTCTGTGTGTATACAAAGGAAGTTGAATATGCAACCTCTTATGAAGGTCCTATGGACTTTCTACCTGTCAAGCATATATATATATATGATATATATGATGCTATTAAAAAAGATCAATCTTTGTAATAAATGTATGATGCTGCAATATATGGAAGATGTTATAGTGGCAAAGTGAATTCAATGTGTGTTGCTAACAAGATTCTCTCCTGTGACGGAGTCCCGGTAATCTGTCGGTATTGTAGACCAAATATAGCCCTGTTTATCTGTTGCGCTATGCTGTGTATGGTCAGTCAAGTCTACGGCTTACTATGTGTGTGGCAAATATGACTTGGCGTGTATTGTAATTGCAAGGTTGGCACTGAGGTGCACTTTGTCATGGAGTTTTATTTCATGTCACTTCCATCAAAACTTATGTTGTATCCTATACTAGAAGAAATACTGATTACCTGTTAAATTTTACTAATAAGTTACTTTCTAGCTCCTGATGGCAAGGGGTAAATTATTATGCTTACTAATTACATACCTTTTGTGACTAAGACCATTTTCCAATTGGTTTTATAACACAGAGAGACAATACAGCAAGAAAAATGACAGAGGGGGCATCTTCCTTTTAGTTGGCCTTATAGAAATGACTTGGGGACTGTTTACTCTTTGCAGTTCTGCAGATTCCTAGCTAGTTTCTTTCATCCAGTAATTCTGCACTTGCCTTCTGCCTGTTGTCTGTAGGACCTCCAAGGAGAAGTTGAAGCTCACACAGACATCTATCACAACCTGGATGAAAATGGCCACAAAATCCTGAGATCGTTGGAAGGTTCTGAGGAAGCGGTCCTGTTACAAAGGCGTTTGGATAACATGAATTTCAAGTGGAGTGAACTTCGGAAAAAGTCTCTCAACATTAGGTAGGAAAAGATCTGGAGGGAAAAAAGTCAGAATTGAATTAAGAACGACAGAATTTCCCTCGTTTTTCTAGCACAAGTAGCTAATATCTCATATGTTTATGTAAATCACCTAATTTCACAGAGATTCATATTATTTTGAATAAATGAGTCATTCATTTGCTTGGTAGGGAGATGATACTTGAGGACTCAGATTGGATTAAAATGCTGGCATTTTATAACCACAGGAAAGATGTGTGTTAAGACATTAGGGGAAATTTAAATGAGGAGCACAGCTCTCCTCATTTCATAAGGCTCTGTCTTGCTTTATCACAGGGTTATATAAAAAGTGACGACGAGAACACATGTTTATTATGGAGTTCTTCCTTTAGCACTGCTCTGAGTGTAAGCAGAAGACATTCTGGAGAATGGATAAGGGGTCACAATACGAACCCACAGGCACCCTCTCCATGTCTCCTGTCTTGTGCTTTCTCTCAGATGCTCTGAAAACACAACTTCTGTCAGCAAAGCTTTCGGCTGTCCTATACTCCCCTGCTTTCTCCTTTGCACCTTTCTCTGTATCAACTTTCTCTTGGGAAGTTAATGGATGCATGTAACTGTCATTGTAAGGCAGGCAAAAGAAAGAGCTTGCCAAACTGGTTTGCTGGCGTGTGGTGGAAAGGTGTAAGGGCAGAAAGAATGAAAGGTCCTTCTTACCTAAATTTGGATGTAGGAAATACTGAAAGGGGAGCCAGGCGTCCTGCTTTTTACTTGGATCATTTTCTAATTCACTTATCCTCATTAAAATGTTGTGCTTTCCTCTGTGTCTGCAGGAGAACTGATCACAAAGGGAGGCAGAGAAGACCAATGGTTCCCTCATTATGAGGGAGCACACTAAGTTCATGACGTATTTACTATCCCTGCGTAGTGATGCTACAGAAGGGTGATTTTTTTTCCCTTCTTTCCTGTTCTTCTGCATTGTTCAGCATCTCACGTGTAACACGGTTACTGTAACACATTTACATCTATAAGGAAAGGAGAAATCTGAAACTTTATGGATTCAAAGGCATTATTGTAACACTCTGTACCTAATTTGAGATAATGCTACTACTAATGATAGCAATTGGCATTGACACTGTGCTGGTACACACCGTACAGTGACAGAAATGTTTTCTCTTTATTGACAATGAGCGCGATGCTCTGAGAAACCCTACAGTAGTAAATCCTATCATTTAACTTCTCTAACCTCTAAAGAAAGTGAGGCAGAGATGCTGAATATTTTCCATAAATCAGTTCGTTAGCAAGTGGCAGATCAGTGATTGAAACACAGCAAGTACATCCCAGGTTTTGAGTCATTAACTTACACTACTGAGTATGAAAAAAAGAGGAAACCTTTTCAAATAAATACATCATCTCTGAAAGAAAAGAGATGCAGATTACCAGGCATACAGAATGATTCACTTATAAAGCATTGTCCCAGGTGTTTGCAACTCAACCTGCCTCAGGCTCATTTGCTCATTTTTAACTCCTTACTTTGTCTATCTTTTTTTTCTTTTGTTTTCATTGAGGAATGAGTAAAGAATTTGGAGTAAAATGGGCAATGGCTTTTTCAAAGATAGGGAGGCTCCATTAGCTTTCAACAGCTTAAACTCCTACAAGAGGTCAGCATGCGTAATAACAAAGGCCACTCTCATAACATCTATCATTAAAAGGGAATGAAACATGTGAGATAGAAAAGATCTTGGTGGGTAAAGAAAAGGAAGTTATTCATTTTCATGGGACAGAAAAAAGAAAGGTGCTATAACCGTTCAGAACATCACTAAGTGCCTTTTCTCTCCTTCATGTGAACTTGATGGAATAAAAGGAGAATTGAAAGCGGCAAACAGCGTGTCAGCCAAAATACGGGCTCTTCACTCACAGCAATTTCCCATATGCCAGCTACTGCAGTTTAATTCTTGCTGTCATTAATCAAGTAGAAAAGTTAGCTTAGCTTATCTGAGGTGCTGCAAATTCAAGAATTTAAATATTCAGATCAGTGGTTTTGCCTGGTAAATAGGCCTCTCTAATAACACAGGATGTGTTATAAACCTTCACTTATGAAAAGAAAATGAGTAATTCTTCACATTAAAGCAATTTTCTTTTTTTTTTTCCTTGACACTTACGTGAAATAAGGGTATCACTCAATCCCTAGGGGAAGACAGGGTTCATTTGAAAGAAACACTGTCTGCCAACTGTGCCAAGCAAGCCCTTGCCAATTCATTTCTTTCTCTGTTCTTTCCCTACCCCCACTTTCATTCTTGCCAAAGAGTATTCATTATGCTCTTCATCATGAATTCCCTGAACCAAGTAGATTCTCCTTTCTAATTTTCTTCTTGCTCTGTGACAGTTGCCTCCATTTCCCAGGTGAGCATGTTAGTTCTTACACCTGCCTTCTCATACATCTTGCCTCTCTTCCTCTGAAGTTTACTCAAATTCCATAATGACAGGATTGGTTTGCCTTGAACATAGGATGCTGGCTGGGATGCCTGGATCCCATAGCAGAGTGCTGGATTGGAGGTCCAACTGTGTCCCCAGTTCCAGCTTCATGTTTATGCAGACTCTAGGAGACAGCGTTCAGTGGCTCAATTCACATCAACAAGGTTGCTTGAAGATACTATCCAGCATTAGGCTGGTGACTGGTCAAATGAGTTTGTTGGGATAATATATTTCACACCCGCAGACCTTGCATTTTTATTTTTAAAGTGTTAGCAATTTTGAGAAGAGGTCAAATGAATTTTTTTATGTAAGACACATAAAATAAGAGTTCAACTTAATCTGCCTCCAGAGGGTTTTTTTTCCAGATTATTGTATATGCTACTAATTTATTTCTATAATTTGTTATCAATAATATAATTTGTTTTGTTTGGCAAAAGTTGCTTTCTGGAAGACTTTTGTATTTGTTTAGAAAACTATAAATACTGAGTAAAATATACACATTCTTGACACTTTAAACATGAATTTTAGAAGCTACAAACACCAATATTATATAGTATAGGTCAGCAATAAATCTGGGGTCATAATTGGTGCTAGAAGTTACAATAGCTAGAGGAGTTAGAGAAGAAAAAGGAGCAAAAGGAAGCAGAGACATTCTACCTTTGTGAGAAAAATGTGACTTGGAAATGGAGTATCTCTGACCTTCGTTCTATCACTCTTGGAATGTTAATTATGTTTGCATGTCAGAGTTCAAGGCCCATCTGGAAAGAGCTGTTTACCTCTCTTTAGACTTAATTTTCCCTCTTTATTTAAAACCCAATAGCTCCGATTTTATTTCTATCTTTCCTTCTGTATGCTTAAGTGCTATTTTTATTACACTGGAGTACCAAAGGTATACAGGGATGTATCATTAGTTTTATAAAGTAAGTCAAAATGAAAAATGAATTCAATATAACACATTTCACTTTAAGAATGCATGCCTCACAGAGTAAAGTTTTATTAAGGATTTCAAACTAGGCATCAACTAAATCACACTTGAAATATCTGTGTCTAGAGAAATGGCAATCACTTTATCAGTCCCTACAATTCTTAGAGTTCTGACACCAAGGAGTCCCTTGAAGACCAGGCAGTATATCCCAACACACCTAAGGGTTCTGCATTTTATGAAACCATACAAATTGTGGAAGTTATCTCCCTTTTAGAGATCAGCACTTGCCTTGTTAAAGGTTAGCAGTCCCAAAGCTCTTGTGTTCACTAATAAAGATTAATAGAAACTGAATATAAGCAAAATGTTTCCCTTTAAACCACCCCTTTTTATTTTTCTGTTGAGTAGAAAAAAAATAGTGTATTTCACAATGTAGCAAGTAACCTTTTTGCTCATGGATCTAAAAACATTTGGTTGAAATGAATGAAACAGAATTTCCTTCTTTGAGAAAGGTTTGTAATTTCTATTTCCTGTGTCTAAATAAGCTCAAGGTATGTGCTTCAGCAGTTATCTTTATGTCTTTGTGTCTTGGTTTCTCCATCTGCAAAACATGTGAGCTAAGCTGCAGTCTCTCAGGATTTTTCCAGTCCAGTAGACTGCACTGCAACCAGGGGAAAAAAGTCATTAAACCAGTGTGTCTGTAAACACTTTAGAGAAGAGCTATTCCAAGTACAAACACAGGTTAATCACTTAGTAATATTTACAATAGACACATGCAAATACAAATAGAACCATTACCTCCAACAAATATATTACAAATGATCAATGAACATATTAACAAGTTCAATGTGTTTTGTTTCATTGAGACCTTCAAAATGTGTCACTGATATGCACAAACCTTTGCCCTCTAGAGATAAGCAAGTAGTATTTAGTAAGTATCAGAAATAGTTTCAGAAATCTTTTCTTAAAGAATGGTCCTAGAGTTCATCTGTAGACTCGTGAAGGTTCTTGCTGAAAGTATATATTCCTGGGCCCAATGCAGTAGCCTAGTGGCTCGCCATGCATGGGCCAGGATCCCATATGGACTCCAGTTCATGTCCCAGCTGCCCAGTTCAATTTCAGCTCCCTGCTTGTGGGCTGGGAAAGTTGCAGAGAACATCTCAAAGCCTTGGGACCCTGCACCTGCATGGGACACCCGGAAGAAGCTGCTGACTTTAGATCAGCTCAGCTCTAGCCACTTGGGCTGTGAGTCAGTGGATGAAAGATCTTTCTCTCCATCTCTCCTTCTCTCTGTAAATCTGCCTTTCCAGTGAAAATAAATAAATCTTTTTTTTAAAAAAAGTATACATTCCTTTTTCAAGAATAGAAATTATGGCAGAATCTCACTAATAAACAAGTTACTCAGATGGTTCATATGCATACTGAGAGTTCACAAGCTCAGCTATATTGAATACCACTCTGCACTGTTTGCAAGAAGGAACTTTTATCACCTCCCCAGCTTGTTCTTAGTATACTCCATGCTTTTTAAACCTTTTGCTTAAGTTTTTGTTCCTTTCATTTTTTGCTTTTATTTTTTTATTGTTATTATTAATTACATTGCATTATGTGACAGTTTTATAGGCACTGCGATTTCTCCCACCTCTCCCCAAACCCTCCCCCCATGGTGGATTCCTCCACCTTGTTGCATTACCACAGTTCAAGTTCAGTTGAGATTCTTTCATTGCAAGCATGTGCATTAGGAGTGAAAATAAAGAAATAATCATTTGACATCTAGTTAAGACATTTGGACATGCTGAAATTTTACCCCCACGTACCTTTTATTTTAAAAAGATTTATTTATTACTATTAGAAAGGCAGATTTACAAAGAGAAGGAGAAATCAGAGATTTTTATCCATCACCAGTTCACTCCCCAAATGACCCCAAGGGCCAGAAATCCATAGCCAAGAGTCAGGAATTTCATCCAAGACTCCCACGTGAATGCAAGAACCCATCCACTGAGCCATCCACTGAGCCATCCACTGCTTATCCAAGCCATAAGTAGAGAGCTGAATGGGAAGTGGAGCAGCCTGATTTCAAACCAGTGCCCATATGGGATACTGGTGCCTGCCAGCAGATGATTAGCCACTTGAGCCACCACACTGATCCTGAACCTCAGATACCTTAAAAACTGCCAGCAGCTAGATATGTGAGAACATTTCTCCCTTTGTTCCAATTCCTTCTTCTGCTATTGCTGTTACTTCTGTGTTACTTCTCTAAACCACTCTGCCCCTGGTGTCTAAATACCTCCCTCTTACATGCTATTAAATTTCTCCTGGATCTAAATAGTTTTGAAATGAACCCCCTGCATCTCAGAGCTTTTTATCTTCCCCTTCTCCTAATGAGTGCACCAGTGTTCAACCCCCAAATGAACAAGTGAGTAGTAGTTCAGTTAAAATGCAGCTGTGCTGCAGCAGCTCAGGTCAACAAGGCAGTAACAGGAGATATCCCAGCAGACAACCTTCTCTCTCTCCTCTTTTACACTTTCCCCCACAAACAGAGCTTGTCTCCTCTTCTGGAAACAGGGAGACCACGCCTCAGACGTCTGCATCTTCTCCTTTCCCTTTCCTTTTTTCGTACACCGCAATGCTTCATTAGGACTTAAAGACACACAATAAATATTGATTTCCGCAGTGTCTCTTCTCCCATTTGGCTACTTTTGCAGATCTGGACTCTGCTTTTCTCTGCCTGGCTTTCAACATGTCCTGTCTGACAGCCTTTTTCACCCTCAAGGCAACAAGCTGCGAATTAGTGACACCTCTGGGAATCCCTGTAACCAGTACTCAGTCCATGCCATTAAGCAGCTAAACTTTTGCATAAGAAACTCTCACTCAGGCCTATCATGGAAAAATGTTCATAACTGAGAGAGAAGGAGGGAACAGAAGCGTAGAAGACCTGACCTCTACACTGGGTGCAATCTGCATGGCCTATATTTAATTCAGGACATTTATGGAACTTCACATTTCAACTGTCTGATGCTATTACCATAGGAAGCTTGAAATTTTCTAATTTGATGGAAAAGCCTTATTTTTGGAATATAATCTTTGTATTGTGCCTTAGGGGAAGAAGTTGACAATTTGGAAAATTTAAAATATGAAGGAGTAAATAAGCTGTCACCCCACCTCTGAAGATAACCTGACCCTGATTGTCAGTCCAGAATTATTTCAGGCACAGTCAAGCATGTACACACAAATACATACACACACAACTGTTGCAGCAAAAAACGAAGTGGATTATTTATTATTAATACTGGCTTTTTCATCACCAACTGACTATTTTTAATGTCTGTAAATATTTGCCTTTGTTATCCCTTTGTTATCATGTTGACTATCACATGACGTTTCTTGGTATGAACTCAGCATTGTGCACATGACCAATTTCCTAGTTTTAAACAGTTGCTTCTACTTTTTAGCAATAATAAATAATAAACGTGGTTACCATGTGACCAGAGGGAAATATCACTCGACCTGGTTGCTTTGCTTAATGTCTCAATTTTTGCAGCATTAGAATCTATTAGACTTATGTTCTAGGCAGCATTAATTTTTATGAATTAATTAGTGCTGAGAGCAGTGGGTGATGGAGTAGAATTCTTGATTTAGCTGAGGATAAAGCTGTGTGCACTTCCTGCCTCTCCTCTGTTCTGGATGATGATGTATTATATTGATTTAGCTTTTCATCTTCAAGTCAAATGTAGGTTTTACAGCACATATCATTCATTTGTATATTCTTCAATGGCGTCTAAGGATTAACATGTTCTGAATCCAGCTGATGGTAGGGCACTCAGCCTCCTGCCTAAATGATTCATGTTTGGGGAAGCTTTCTGACAAATGCCTGATTTTAGCCTTCCCTGTGACTTGTTGTCTCAGTACATTTTACACAAAAGAAACACAGCGGAAATTGTTGGAACCTGGTGAAAACAAATCCCAGGTGCACAGGAATAAAGCAGGGTAGAGGAAAGGAGAAGCATATGGGAAGAGAAGCAAAAAGGAGCAGACGCCAGACGGAAGGAGTCCACAGAAAAGGCCGCCTAGTGTGTAGAAATGGAAAAGTCAAAATGTGGGGAGAGACATTTCCATTTAGCAAAACAGAAAAAAATTCTAGGACTAGCATGTGTCACATGAAAATGGAGTGGTTTTTATTAGCCACCCAGGTCCATTTTTTCTCCCCAAAGCATTAAGCATTGCAATGATATGGGAAAGCAATTGACTCCAGTATGTGCACCATGCCAAAAGTCCTAGAACTCTAACGTATTGAAATAAACATATGACTAGACATCACCTTTCCCCCTAAATTGCCATCAAAACCCCTAATTACGTAGCTCTAAAAGCAAATCATCAGATTTTCATGAAAGATTGCCACATTTTTCACATTACGTTTATACAACCCAGCCAATATACCTATCATGGAATTGTTAGACTCATCCATTATATTAGTGTGTATCCTGACATAGTTGCTCCTGTTATTTTTCAGATCCCACTTGGAAGCCAGTTCTGAACAGTGGAAGCGTCTGCACCTTTCTCTTCAGGAACTTCTGGTGTGGCTACAGCTAAAGGATGATGAATTAAGTCGGCAGGCGCCCATTGGAGGCGATCTTCAAGCAGTTCACAAACAGAATGATGTACACAGGGTAGGATATTTTTAAGCCTAGTGTCCTGGACATTTTAAGTATTCAGTGACTATTTTTAAATTGGTCTTGGTTGACATTACGTTGAATAGAAAATCTTTTCTGTCCTCTTGTCCAAGGATCAATTATAAATAATCCAAGCCATTATGTTTTAAATGTCAAAAGCATCTGCATTAATAATAACCTTTAAGAAATTTCCCATCTCTTTTGGCTATTTTTAAAATGTTTTTGTTGTGAAAACTCTTGAACATATACAAAAATAAATAGAATGCTATAATGAACACCCTTCAGGACATCAGTAGTCATCCCTTCATGATTAATCTTATTTCTTTTACACCTCTAACCTTTCCTACAGTGTTTTTTTTTAAGATTTGTATATGTATTTTCATTGGAAAAGCAGATACACAGAGAGAAGAACAGATAGAGAAAGATCTTTTCTCTTCTGGGTCACTACCCAAATGGCCAAAACGGCCAGAACTGAGCCAATTCAAATCCAGGAGCCAGGAATATCTTCCAGATCTCCCATGTGGATGCAGGGTTCCCAGGATTTGGGCCATCTTCCACTGCTTTCTCAGGCCATAAGCAGGGAGCTGGATGGGAAATTCAGCAGCCAGAATATGAACTGGCATCCGTATGGGTAGAGGATTAGCCAATTGTGCCATCATGCCAGCCCCATTCCGCCAGCATTTTGAAATGAATATCAGGCATGTATCATACCATTTATAAATATTTTATGAATCTCTCTAGAATATAAAGGAATCACTGTAATGACAGTGTTACTGTAATACATACAAATATCAGAAAGTTCATCATATTACATATTACATATTACATATGCAGTTAGTATTCAGATTTTCATTTCTGTTATGTGTCATAAATTTATCGAAGGTTTCTATTTAGAATTTAAGAAGAAATTAAGATCTGCCCATTGCAAATTATCACTTAGGTTATCCCTTTGTGAAACCTGTTATTTTGAAGTAATTCTAGATTCAGAATAAGTTATAAAATATTGCAATTTCTCTATGCTTCTTACTCCGTTTCCTATAATAATTACAACATTGATAACTATAATACAATTGTTATTGTCATGTCAAAATGCAACCTATATAAAATATGCATTTACAGTGCTTTTCAGTTTGTCCTATTTCAAGTGCTTAGCAGCCAGACATGGCTAGTGGCTACCTACTGAACAGAACAGTTCTACAGATTGGGTCATATCCAGGTTTGACCTTTTGGAGCACGACTATTTAATAGTATTAAAAATAGTATATTCTTCCATCCTCGGGAGATGCAGAAAGCTTAACTTGCTCTTTTGTGTGTATAATTTTAATAATTCTTAATGATCAATGGCTAGGAGTTGCATAATGAGAATTGACAATTTCTATCATCACACTTTTCTTTATTAGCTGTAAGATGTCTATGAGAATTTGTTTAATTCATCTAAAATTTGAGTGTACCAGGGTATCATTCATATTAGATAGGGAAGATAGTGTTTTTGTTTTACCTGTTTTCAAAATAGCAAGTTGTTCACTGACATCCTCCGACAGTGACTAGTTGTTTCCATTTTGTCTTGAGTTGCTTTCTGTCTTCTCATTTATGCTCTGGGTGCAGAATGGGAGGATTGATGCTGCTCACTTCCAACATCCCAGAGCCTAGCCAACAGTCTGGTTTCCAGTGGATACTGATAAGCCTTTGAAAATAAGAATAAGAGACACATGAATAAAAATGAAAGGCAAGCCATAAATTATCACCAAATTAAAAATCTTGATCACCTGATACTGTTTTTATATTTTTAGCACTTTTTGAAGAAGGATTTCCAGAGCGACACAGCCAAAGGTGAAAAGTTGAGGAAAAACCAGGGGTTATATTAGTCCAGTGAAGAGGATATGGCACATTGCAAAAGGGAGGAGAGCCGAGAAGGGATGTTCAAAGATCTTGGCTAAAAAAGCAAAATGGCAAACAGACCGCCAGTTTCTCCTTTAGTCATTTCAATTCATGTATTTCAGAATATTAGGTTATCTGAAAATGTAATGGTGCTAAATTTTTTTGAATGTTCTAGCTTTGAACAGTCATATAACACTAGCATTTATAGAGAAGAACATTCATTGAGAAGGATGAGCATTTAAAATAGAATCAATTACAGGATATGGTAAAATGAGACAGAATTTCTACAAAAGATGTATTTTTATTTTAGTTCCAGAAACGAAAGATGAATCATTGGATGCGTGTACTGGGAGACAGTAGGCTGAGAGTCTAATCATGTTTCTCCAAACATTAGATTATGATTTCTACTTTGTTCTGTAGCTGTAGGGTAAGAAAATTGTTCTAAATAATCGTCATGATCCCTTTCAACAAGTATCGCCATCCTTGGGTTTTGTTTTGCTTGTGTGCTAATAATGGCAAACTGTCTGTGCTAATCAGTTTCAATCCCTATTCAGGAATCTCATGATAAAGTAGATGATTTGGGGAGTTACAGGAAACACTTAGGGTGAAGTTATCTAATCATCACTTAGCCAGCATGCTTGCTGAAATTCTTATTACCCTGCTTTGATTTAACAAAACTTCCAACCCATTGAAAACTCTGTGTTTTTCATATTGGGCACACTGGTCCTCTAGTTTTACCTCTCTCCAAGTTTAGCTTTGATTGAATCATCAAGCATTTTTAACAACTCTCAAAATCCTAGAATCCTTTGCTTCTTTATCTTTTTTGTTTCTGTAAACTACAAAGCAAGCAATCAAACAACTGGGAGAAACTAAATATGTCCTCCTTTCCAGACAACGACAAAGCACACAGGCACAGTACCTCCCCAGGATGAACTCACTCCTGGCTTCCCTTGCTAATGCAGTGCTGAGTTGGTTTACCTCCACAATACTTCTTGACTCTGTCTACCACAAAATCACCATGTTACAAGAAACCAGTTTTCTTACCATTTCTGTTTTTGCTAATGTACAATGCACTTTTGATATTTTCATCTGACTATGCAAAAGTATATATGGAATTATGTCAGTCTTCCTCCTGACACTTGTCACCTTCTCAAAGCTCTTGGAAAACATGGAAATCCTTAGCAAGAGCACAAATCTTATCTGGCTGTCTTACAGTTTTGTTTTTAATGAAGCTATATAGTCAGTCACAGTTGATATGATAGAGAGCTTTGCTTTTCTTGCAGGTGAAATTCCAAGATAGTCCACAAAGGCAGCTGGGGGGTACAGTAGCACTCCTCAGAGGAAGTTTCACACCCATGGGATGTGAACTATGGTCCCCAGACCAGCTGGGCAGCATAATAACAGCAACTGAATGGCTTTCAAGACTAATTAATAAAATAATGCTCCATATGCAGTGAAGTGTTATAAATAATTAAAGCTCAAATGTGCCTTAGCAAATATAAACTGACCAATTTTTATATCTTTTGAATACATTATCCTGGCTTTTATAATTCCTCATTACTTGCCTCACTAGACTGACTCATTTTCAATTAGTGTGTATTATTCTGGCCCAGATATATTTTAAAAATTGACTCCCTTTGTTTTACTTGAACAGTCACTAAAGTGATATTTATTACTTGTCTACTTCTGTAATTAACCTAGCAAGCATTTTAAAGGAGCAGATCATAGCGGGGAATTTCTAAGGCTAGCTGCAATAAGCCATGTGCTTATTTAATTCCCTTCCTCCTACCCCAAATCCAAATGCAGGATAGGTCTTCATTATAAGAATACTGTAGGCAATGACATTTTGTTTGAATTTGTTACTAATGAAATTGATTGTTGTTAGGTTTTCATCTTTCAGTTTAAATATCTCTGTAATCCCTTCCCTAGAGACTACCTTCAAAGGTTCCTAAGATTTTTCTGGTTAAGATTTAGATGGAAGTAATCAATACATACATTATTAAAACAGTGGACAGGAAGCCATTATTCCTTGGATTTTGTTGACAAATGAAAAGGCTTGAATAAAGTAGTTTACTTGTACATTTGTCAGGTCATACATTATGCATGTTCGATTTCCTCAGGAGTCACCACAAAGTGAAAGAGAGGTTTAACAATTCAATGAAATTGTTCTGAAATCATGATGTAGATCCCACATTTGTTCAAGCTAATTCTGTTATCAATGCTGGCCTGCTAACATCACGTGTATGTTGTGTGTATGTTTGTGTTAGCTTAATGAGTTAGTTCTCTGTGCCTTCTTTACCCAGAAACAGAAAATGTCTTTGGGTGCCATTTATAAATGTTAAGTCGGCTCTCTGTCAAGAAAAAAATGCATTCTTTCCTATCCTCTCAGAAAAATTGCATGAGATTTTGATAGATTTATCTCAGCATTTGATGGCCTGTCCTCTTAGAATATCTAAGCAAGTTCACTTGCTTTGTAACTTCTAGTTATGTGTATCCCAAAAATGTCTTCTTAATTCTATTGGAGGAAGTAAATGTCTTTCTGATATTCTCTTTTCAAATATTTGTTTATTTGTTTTTGAAAGTCAGAAAGTGACAGAGAGAAAGGGAGAGATGAGGGGAAGCAGAGAGGGTAAAGGAAAGAGAGGAGAGAGAGAGAGGGTAGAGAGATTGTGTATGTGTATCTGTCTGTCTGTCTGTCTGTGAGTGAGAGAGAAGCTCCTATGCCTGTATGACAATAAAGGCAGAGACAGGACTGGGCCAAAGCTGGGAGCTGAGAACTCAATAGGGGTTTGCCATGTGGTGGCAGAAACCCACATACTAGGGTCATCACTTGCTGCCTGCCAGAGTAAGCAATAGCCAGTAGCAAAAAAAATATGTAGAGAACCTGGTCTGTGACCAAGACACTTCAATATAGGATGTAGTTAGCCCAAGGAGCTTCACTTCTCTGCCAGATGCTCAATCATGAGCTCTTCTCCATCTCCCGCAAAGTATACTACATTTGTACATAATTGATTTCCTATGTAGCCATATTTGTGGATGTTGAATAGAAGAGAATTATTTTTAGAACGGCATTTCCAGGCATTTCAGGAAGTCTTCTGAAAACTAGCTATATCATCAAA